CAGGCAATCTCTGTCGAGGAAATTTGGACTGATATGCCCGCTTTGGAGGTTGAAGTTTCTGCTTCTGTACCAGAATATCAATATGTGATGACTTGTCTGACTGCACTGGTACTACTATTGGACTGCCACCTCTGAAGGAAGGCTGGATCTAAAACAGGTGAAATAAATAAAATACATTCCACTCAGACACTGAATGCACAACTATGCAGGTCTGAAGTTTATTTTCCATATTACAAATCTGTGCATTTCAATTTCATACAGGCCTCTGTCTATGGTATCAATTTTTAGATTTTGTATCTATCAAATTCCAAAGAAAAAGAAGAATAAAAGAACAAATAAATAGATTTAACATTTTAATGCCATCTCTATGTTTTCATTGTTCAGAAAACAATCATTCTGTTTCGATCTATTAATTCCAGATTACATGGGCCAGAAAAATGTATCAAAATATTTGTAACATATCATGTCATAACAATGAGCTGCGTAGCTCAGCCAGTATAGTGACTGACTATAGACTGGACAACTGCGCTTCGATCTCCAACACGGGCAGAAGATTTTTCCTCTAGCCTCTGAATCTAGACCAGCTATGGGGCCCACCCAGTCTCCTGTCCAATGGGTACTGGACCGGGGTCCTTTCCCAGGGGTAAAGTGCACCAAGGCATGATGCTGACCACTCACCCCCTTCCAGTGCCACGGTAGAGAAAGTGTAGGAACTATACCCCCTCTTCCCCCAAGAGCCTACATGGTGTATAGCAGGACAACTTTACTTTTACTTTACTTATCATGTAATATGTATTATCTGACACTGGGTATGCCTTCTACAGCATACTAGGGACACACAGCAATACACTGTAATAACAGGGTACATTATCTCAAGTAAGTTAATTACAACTAAAGCTCCAGAAATACAGCTTGAACTTAAATGACATAACAAAATCCAGCTGCTCAGTTTCCCAGTATGCTTCTCAAATATTCTTATTGCGATAAAACGTACACAGTATTTTAAAAACAGTATCAGGTTCAACAACAAATTAGACATAATTAATTTATCAAAAGTTTAATACTTCTGACCAAGGCTAAAAATGTGTTTCCAGCCCATCTCTGTCAACTAACCCACACTGTGTGGGTGAGCGTACTTCTAGAGCTTTGCTTGCAATCATGCATTTAAGATCCAATCTACTTACAATCTTCTTACTCTTGAACATTTATACAATTATTATTTTATACTATTTTCTATTTTATTTTTAACAATATACAAAACTTACAGCAACAGTATCCGGAACAGATTTTATGTACTCCAGGAAACTCTTGAATCCAAATTTACTAAAAGGAACATCTTGACCTTCCTGCAGTTTGTAGTCCTTCTGAAGTTCATTAACTGTCAAGGCCTGTGGTGAAGATATAAGGAGGCCACGCAGAATGGTCTTCAACTCATCCTGTACAGCTGCTTGTGACATCTTATATTGGCTAATTTCACAGATATCACTAGTACGTTTTATATTAGATCTGTTGAACATAAACATTAGATCAGTTCTCTTAGTGTCACGCTTCATTATGCAAAAATTATTACCCATTCATAAAAATTGAATTACATGTAAAAATATGCCTGTAATAAGAAATCCTGTATTGCTTCATGGTTATTCTATTCATTAAAACACACACACACATTATATTCCAAAGAAAACCACCTTCAAAATATTTACTTCGTTGAATTATGTCAAATCTGGTGCAAACTGCTTCCTGGACTCACTAGTAGAGAAAACAGCTCAGGCAGCTAAGGAAAATGTGTGATATTTACATATGAATTCACATTCCTAACAATACTAAAAGTCCAAGTGTACCAAACATACAATCATTGTTCTGCTTCTTTTTTTAGCACAATTTATTTTATATGAGTTGATGGGCACTATCATTAAAAGGGGATTTTATACTACTTTCTGGCTAAACAAACCCCACCACTGCAAGAAAGTATTCTGCATGCTCAGACATTTTCAAACCACATCTTCTAATAAAACTCATCCAGCTGTGGGTGCCATATATTTTGGAAATCTAACAGAAAATATACAAGTAGATGCAGAAAGACTGAACACATAAAAGGCTGATTTTTCTGTCTTAGTGAACACAGCCTGAAACATTAATGCCATTGCTATCTTTGTAACTTCAATCACAATGAAGAATTTTAATTTATCTATAGCCATTCATAAAAAAATTGCAAGAAATCAAAAAGCAAATATATGCTCTACATAGTTTACATGTTATTTTCAACAAGCAGGTTTAGCAAAAGATGCATACTTTTCAAAGACCTAGCACGACCCAAAATGATGAGGTTCTATGTGGGAATGGTGTCAGTATCAATATAATTTCAGGTCACATGTTTGCCATGCTGGACATATAGATACAATTAATGATTATATTGTAGCCACTACATTCAGAAGACATTTGGAAAGGTAAAAGTTAGGTACTACAACTCAGTAGTTTTCCCACATTTGGTGACTCATGCATCTGGTCTGTTCAATTATATTTTCAGTACTGAAATATGATGTATATAAAGTGCACCCAGTGATGAAGTTCAATGCATTTGTCCCTTCCCTGCAGGATGACTCGCTGTCAAGTGCTAAAACCAATTGTTGCTAGAATCATTCACACAACAGTGCAACTGTGTCTAACATGTTAAGTACTGGATATTGTATGTGTGGATATGGCTCAATATACTACTGAACACTGTCTCTTTGTAAGAATCTTACGTGAAATGTGGTTATACTACAAAGTGTCAGAAAAAATTCTGTTGTAAATTTCTTGGGATTACAGTTCCAAGGATAATAGGCATCCACAAACTTATTAAGAAAGGCAGGTATACTGATTCTGGATAAGCCTGCTAAAAAAAATGCAATAACCTTACCAAATATAAATTATATGAATACGGGTTAGGTTAGAAGCCTACCATAGGAATCACTGAGATACCTTGGACAAAAACAATCTCAAAATTGTCAGCAACCAAAGTGATAAAGTTGCTTAAACTTCAACCAAATAAGGTGACCATAGTTCGTATGTAACACACGTAATATGATTAATTTCTGCAACTGGATTTTGGAATCAGTTCATGATGATGTAGTTGACCCTTATTTGACTTTATTCCTGTTGAAGCATGGCTTCATGTGTATGCCATGTTTCATGTTTCCTACCAGAATAATAAGTACTGGAGTTTTGTTAATTCACAGTTAATCCATGGCATTCCTCTTCATGACGTATTTAGCGTTCACATGTATAAGGATGGCAATTTCAGCGCCTCTTATAAAAAATGTAAGTTGAATTATTTTTTTGGAGGAATACTTGACTTGTATTGGGAAAATATTGCAATGCTTGGTGGTGAATGCAGTTCCTATTGGGAGTGAGGAAGTGGCAGTTAACTTTACCAGTGGTAACACTGTACAAAGAGTAGCATGCCTCCAAGCAAGCTTTTCCACAAACAGTTGCAATGTATTTCCTTTATTCTGCAATATCCCTAAATGTTGAAAGGCCAAAATCACGGAAGACACAAGAAAAATATTAGGAATAATCAGGAACATTTTGTTAATACACTTGCAAGATCATATCGAATTACTTTATTTTTTAACTGCAGGAATTCATGACTCCATCACATTGTTTCTTTAGCATAACCACCAAAGTGTATACTGAATCTGTAAAGACATTCCCAACAAAAATGCTACAATTATAAAGTGTAGTTCTGTTCTGGAAATGTATCCTTAGGTAGAATATGAAATCATATTCATTTAAATTTCAAATTACTAAACAGTGTATAACATTAATTCGGTGCTTCATTGCAAATAAAATTTAAGATCTCAAATGGTACAGATTTTCTGATAATACCTTGTTCCAAACACTTCACACTAAGATAGAAAATGAAACATTCTTACCCTCGAACAGTTTCAAATAACGATACAAAACTCGAATGTCCTCAAAACTCCAGAAGTACAATGCCGTACGTAAAGGAACACGACAGGTTACCAACACACACGAACACATTTTCTCTGGCAGCAGCCATCATATTTTCAACGCATTTCAACAATGCAACGCTTTTTTCCCCTCTCAAAGTATCTGTGTTTCGTACAACGATCACTAATTTAAACAACGAATCACTGGAACATTTTGAGCACCATAGATTACCACGTTAAGCACAATTATTAAAAAAACGCCGCTTTACTTCTGGACTCTACACAAACGTATGGCGCCACACATTAACCCAGATAGTCAGCTTTATGCCGTTGATGAACAACGTGGTGCCGTGCGAATTGTGCTGCGCTCCGTGAGCGATTCATATCTAAACACAACGGCTACGTGTCAGTAGCTCAATCGGTAAGACAGTTTTCTTCAAATATATTCCTCCATCCTCAAAGTTGGATGGTATAAACGAGGCCATAGAAGAAAGAGGTCTAGAAGTTGGACAATGGCTGGAGAATGGAATCGGAGGACGTCGACAGACGTTTTAAACCTAAATAATAATAATAAAAATAAGAAGAAGAAGAAGAAAATGACAAAGAAAAAATATAAATAGACAAATTTGATAATGTGTAATTCACAGGACAATTAATGAATTTCATGTCACTGGAAGTAAATGTCCAATACTAAAGGAGTTACTTAAGTTCTGAGGAATAAAATAAGCTTCCAGGGAAATTCAATACCTCTGATATATGTTAGAAAGTTAGACATCTGGTGGAAAAAATCCATAGACAGTCGAACAATGCTGATAGAACAGATACATGTTCTGGAATTGTAGTTATCCTATGTGAGAGTAATAAGCGTTATAGGCAACATGGTTGATCAAAACTTATTTACAATCGTGAGACACACATGTGATTTTCACACAGAGACAACTGGTCAGGTCTTCTTGTACCTGCTTCAAAGGGCCAGCAAGTTATAATTTTCTGTGCAGGAAATGAGAATATGTTTACACTTAAAATTATTCATTGTCAGGACTTTTTCCCTACCCTTTAGAGTGGAGAATATGTTTGTTCAAAATGCTACACTAATACTTAAATCATACCATATACCCTGTGCTGATCATGACTACATGACATTTTATAATTATGAGAAGAAACTTTTGACATGGTCAGCAGGTTTCTAGTTAGATTCAACATAAGAACTGTGCACATTACAGCCAAAAAGAAATATTCACACCTGTTGAGGAGAGTGAAATATGACATAGGCGTCAGGGTCCCAGGTCCCTTGTGAATGTGGTAATATTTACATTTGACAGACAGGATGCACCGTTAAAATGAAGTGGACATATAGTACAAACCAGACAAGTCAGTGGTGGCTGAATAGGGCGTTGTATCAACTTAAAGGACACCACAATTTTGGCTAGAATGGCAGGATATGTGATCACTTGGTGAAGAGACAATGAAGATCTACCTAGAACTCTGCAACTTCAAAAGTCACATGGGTTTCACTCTAATATGATTCTGAAATTGTGCTACCAACATACTCTGAAAAATAGGGTCACTAAAAAAATTGGAAAATGGATCAGCAGAGGCTAGTATGTCGGACTGTCCAGATGAAGCAACATAGACTGTCTGAAGGTCCTGTATTGGTCCGCTCTAAGAAAAAAACATGTTCTGAAAACTGTAGGTATAAATGCAATGGGCAGTTGTGCACTCTAATATTAATGCTGATGAGAAGTCAATAGCTATCTTAACCTCAGAAGAAGTAGGTTAAAGCTCAGGAGTGTATTTCAGTCTATCTAACATTGTTAACCCAATCAATCAAAGTTGACCAAAGTACTTTTTATACATATTTAGAATATTGTGTTAATCTACATGCACATCACCATTCTCATCTTTCATAAAGTTAATTAAAGATTAGTAACTTTTCTTAAGGTCATTTATGCATCTGTGCAGGTATCTGATATTTTTCTTATCACCATTTCTTACAAATTCATTATTTTTTTCCTTCAGATATCCCCCCTTTTTTTGTTCCTGAAATGTGAGTGGTTAGCACCATGCTTTGACCATTTTACCTCCAATAGAATATTCCATTGTACTATTTGGAGCTTGAGCCCAAAATATTTAATATTTAGAAGCCATGATTAAGTGATACAAACTGATTGATTTTGATGGCAGTTTTAAATAGGCTAATAAAACTGACCAACTGAATGAGATTAACCAATCACAGTAAAGCATAGTACTGAGATGTTTATATAATTCACTTGCATTCAGTGGATTGAAAATTTATGAACAAACGTCTATATATATATCAGAACAAATCTTATCATTAGTGCAGGTATTTTAAAAGTTACTTTCCTATGAATATTAGCAGTTCATTTCAACATCTACTAATTGATCTGCTGTTTAACACAAATATAAATTTTTATCTGTTTCCATATTCATTACTTTGTTCAAATTGTGTCCAAGACAGAAGACTACAATACTCAAGTGCTGCACCATTACGTATTTTGAAAAGAATTCTTAATAGCAGTTTATCACAAAATTATGTATTTTGAACTGCTTCTCAGAAACCATGACTAGATAGTTACTTAATTTAATTTTCACAAATCTATTATAAAACCGAACCTTTAACAGACTCTATTTCTTATCTGTCAAAAACTGAATAAACATAGGTAATCACCTACAAGATTTTATGGTATCACAACACAGAAGACCGCAATCCACATTTTTGTTATCATAAAAGCCTCAAATTTCTTACTCCATAAAATGTATTTGTTATGACAGTGTTTGTAAAAATAATCTTGTTAGTAATTGAAATTGCATATGACATAGCTCAAAATATAACACTTACATAACATGCATTCATATTTTCTTTATACTCTGAAGATGGAGATGACATGTCCCTCTGAAATGCTGGTAGTCACCAAGAAGACCACAAGGCATATTTACATTTCCATAAAAACCTTGAATTTCTGTAATGTATATGTTATGACATTATTTATAAAAATAATTTTGTAGATAAATGAGGAAAAAATACAACTTAACTCAAAACATGACACTCATGTACTCTGGTTCATATTTTTTAAGTACATTAGTAACTTTATTTTTTGAATCGGTTCTTTGCAGGTGATAGAATACTAAAAATATGTAAATACTATATGAAGGATACAACATAAATCTCTTACTGAGAGGAGAAACAACCCAATATATTACACAAAATTATAGTGAAAGGAAATATTTTAAAGCCAGTGCTAAGTAAATGGTAATCCATGTTTCCTTTCCAAGCCAAAACTCATACTTAAAATTTTAGCCTTTTTCTGGTATGCAAAATTTACAGGGACCTCCTTCCAAAAGAAGTATCATGAAACAGTACCATATATCAAGAAAGTGTATATTACTTGCTTTACTTTTCTGCTTAGAAGTGGTGAATCTGTTATTCATAAATTCAGGAAACAGCCATAATGAATTTTTAAGTGGACAGTTCTGGTGCCATCACATGTGTGAAATATGGTATATTAAGATGCTTGGCAAGTCTTACACATATTCTTGTATCTTTACAAATGCGAGTTTTGAAATATAAAGTTTACAATTTACCATGCTTGAAACAACAGCCAGGTTATTAAGCCTACATAAAATGCTTACTGATGTCAATTTGTGTGTTAATTCCATAGGGAATGCTTTTGAAAGAAGAAAATTTTCTAAGTTTCTTTATTGACATTTGCTCTATCATAGGCGCATGATAAAGAAGGAAACAGATAAAGAATACTAAGAATGAGAAAGTAATAGTTGGTATAAGTTACAAACATGGAAAACCAAACCATAGCCAAGGAAACTTGCCTTTCTCACACTGACAAATGTTTATACACCTGAATGTGCAATCTGAGGTTATAAAGGTAGTCCTTCAGCATTTTTTAAAGTAAAAAGTATTTATAGTATACTGTAAATTGGATAACTTCCTGAAGGTTTACAAACTGTATCAGATTATCATTTTAATTGATGAGTTCAGTGACATAAGATAAAGTATATAATTACAAAAAATCATGCAAGAGCAAGCTCTGATATTATGCAATAGTTTATGAAACAATATTTGTCACTGAGTTCTGGTCCCTTTCTGATTTATTAAATCAAAATTCAAATTGAGCTGTTTGGATACAACATATGCAAACAAAATGAAGGGTGCTGTTTCTTGCATTACAGGCAGACTGTTTAGTACACAGTACCATATCATGAGCTCTCTCTTGGAAATGATTTTACAAATAATGTTTATTGAGATCAAAGGATTATCACTCAGATTACTCGAACTTGATGCGATTAATAAGCATTGCAAAGTATGTTGTCAGTAGCAAGTTTTGTTGTGTCTAGACAATTGCCACTAATATATAAGATGCCAATTTCATTAAAGATTCAGTAGCTAGTTATACAACGCATTATTATCCCCTTATCACTGAACTGATAACAGAAAGGTAGGCTGAGGCATAATAAACAATGTCAGCAAATGTTAAGATCCCTCTTAAATTATATTGGAATAAAGTCAAGTGGTAACTTTTCAGAAATTATTTTCAATCTTGTTGTCAACACAGTTATAAGAAAACATTACTTGAAATACGTTATGATGCAACCTGTTTGTAAAGTTCCTTTTCACTTGGCATCCAATTCAAGGGACTGAAGAAAACCATGAACAATCTGCCAGAAAAGACAGTCTGTAGGCTAACATTTGACTTTGGTACCTACCAAATATGAAGCAGGAGTGCTAATCACTCAACCCTGACATTCAATGAAACTTAACAGTACCTGTCTTCATGCATATGAACACAGTGTCATCCAGTGGCTTACCAATTTATGAAGTAAAATATCACCAGTAACATTAATTACTTTCCAATTTTTATTTCATATTCTCTATTTTTTACTCATTTACTCACATCGACCGTAATAATACTGGAAGTTCATTTTTTGCTTCTTTAAATTTTATCACATGGGAAAAAAGTTATTTAAATCTCCATACTATGGGGCTACAGCTGGACTTTAACTCTGGGGTTAATGGTTTAGCAGTATGCTAATGTGACACACACACACACAGCCAGTTGAATTGCACATAAGATGTGACATCGTTTATAAAAGGTAATATCATAATGGGTAACTATCACAGATGGAGGCAGGATGTTTCTACTAGATGTTGGTACCCACCTATAAGTTCACATGTCATCACAGTCCAGAAGATCACCATAAATATCATCTCTGCTGTGAGAACCTTGAATATCAAGCAATGCAAACATAGCGACTGATGGAAAAATATACTTTTAATGTGCTTGCCATCTGGCAGTCCCAGTCTGAACAAATTTCAATGCAGTTACTGCCAGGCAGTAATGGTCTAAGTAAGCAAAGATCTAACATTAAAGTAAACCATTAGATTAATGAACCTTACAAACAGGTCACACCATAAATGAAGGCATAGGTTTCAATTTTTCAGTTACAAAGAAGGCATGAAAACTTTACTTCTAATGTAAGGTGCTACAGTAATGTTGCAGTTTTATATACATCATGACACAAC